CATGTGCATTGATGCAGCCACCTTACATACTGTTTGCACAACGCCACAGCAGGCGCTGGCGCGAGCGCTAAGCCTGCACGGGGCTCACACGAGCCGCGTCTGGCGAGGCCTGGGCAACAGAGCGGGGATCGTTTCACATTTTGCTGGAGCTTGTGAGAATGGGGGGAAAAATTGCCAGATAAACAGTAACAATGGGTCACGCAGTAGTAATGGGCCTGGATGGGAGACGCGATACTAACGCTAGCAGAGAGAGCAGGGGCAAGGGGCACTGGTGTTGGGCACACCAGCGCCACGCAGTGTACAACACATCATGAGATTTAGCACATCACGTGATACAGGGGCAGGGCATCAGATGGCGCACCTCTCAAGCGGCGGCCATGCACGCAACCCTGGTGCAAGGTGGGGGCGTCGGAAAAATCTGGGTCGCCGCGGCAGCAGCGAGGGGGTCACGACGAGGGGCGCCGCACCAGCTGCAGACAAAGCTGGCAGGTGATGACCACAACTGACTGGTGCATCCCTGGGTCCCCGGGCTGCATCCAGACCTCGTCAGACCTATCCAGATGCCGCAGGCCTGGTCTGATAGCAGGAGGGGCGATCAGGGGTCAGATCAGAACTCGTGGTATGACTTGGTCATATCCACCCGCACCAGCGCCGCCAGCAGGCTGGCATACTGCGGAAGGAGCGGGCGGCAGGGGAGGGGCAGGGAAGACACGCCAAGGCAGGGTAAGGTGTGCGCCAGGAGCGACGCCGCTGCAGGGTTTCAGCGCTGGCAGAGCTGGTGGGCACACAGTGGCAGCAGGCGCAGCCCTGGAACGCCAGCACGCGTGCCTTCTGCCTGTCGCCGCCGCATAGGTCCGCCAGGGCCTGCAGGGCGGTGGGGAGCCAGGCAACAAGGGAGGCATGTACCGCCCAGCCTACCCGTGGCATGAGCGACAGCATGGGGACGGCATGGGGCAGCCGACATGGCAGGTTTGCAACCGGCTGCCCCACTGGCCTGCGGGTGCTCCTTCAGCCCCACCAGGCGAGCCGCCTTGAGCGCCTTCTTGTCGCTGAACGGGAACAGCTCCTCCCAGGGCTGCTGCGCCTGCACGGGAGGCACAGCCAGGCCATCACGCTGCGCCGCGCTGGGCGAGCAGGCGAGGCAAGAGGCGAAGTGGCGCAGGCAAGAGTGGAGGGCCGGTGGGCTGAGGGGCCCCTTCCATGCACTGAAGTAAGGCTGGCACATGTGTGGAACGCTTCCAGCTCAGCTGGCTCAGTTGGCAGGCTTGCCTGGCGAAAGAAGATGTCCACAGCTCCATCCCCCGTGCCCTTCAGCTTCTTCAGCAGCGTCCGCTCCTGCGCAGGCAGAGCGCCGCGGCGGGGGTGAGCAGCTCCGGCACGCACAGTCAGAGCGGCAGGCTGTGGGGAGCGAGCGGGGAGCACGCTGTCATCGTGGTCGGCTGGCGCAAGACTGTCCTGCTGCTGGCGCGGCCGCTGCTGTGAGCACCTGCTGCGCGTTGTTGCCCGCAGCAGCGCGCAGGGCAGTCAGATCTCCCTGGTACAGCTGCACCATCGCCTCAGCGTTCTCCACCAGGTATGCCGCCGCTTTGTCGTCTGCGGCAGGTGGTGCCCGAAGTCGTACCGGCAGTGGTACTGGCAGAAACTGGAACTCGGCGCTCAGGGGCTGCTGTGGATCAAAGGCAGCAGGAAGCAAGGAAGCAGGAGGCAAGGAAGCAGGCAGCTGCCTGCCCAGCACCGACGGCGGACAGCGGGCGACAAGCCCAGGCCAGGCCAGTCGCAGGCGGCAGGGCAGAGGGGTGCTCACCGGGGCGGTCGTAGCCGCCGGCCGCCAGCAGGCTGCGCACGCGCTCTTCCCCCGCCGTGCACACCGCTTGCGGGGTGGTCAGCCCCGCGGCAAACAGCTGTAGGCAGGCGTTCAACGCTGCGCAGGGCAGGTGGGGGTGAGGACGGGGCAGGCCGCAGAAGGTGGAGGGGGTGGGGGTCAGCAAACAGGAGACGGCGAAGCGCCACATGGCGAGGAGAGGGAGCTCTGCTGGGACGAGCGGGACCACCCCATGATGCTGCTGGCAGGAGGATGTGTCGCACGCTTATCGACCTTGGGCCATGCTGCGGCGCACCTGCACCCGACTTGATGCGGGCGCTGAACAGGACAGAGGCGCACAGCCACTGCCAGAGGGCTGCGGGGCTGCCGGAAGCGATGTCGATCTGCAGGCAGAGGCAGGATGAGCAAAGGGTGGGGCAGGGCAGGGGAGGACGGGGCAGGGCAGCAGGCACATGCACGGCGGGGCGCGGACAAGTGGGTGTCTTCAACCCGCACACAGGTGTCTTCAGTCCGCACACACTACTGCCCTGCTTGACCACACCCACACACCCAAGGCACCGCACCCCCAAGGCAACCACACACCCACACCCAACCAAGCTCACCTGAAGCTCCTGGCAGAAGCTCTGGGGGAAGCGCTCCAGCAGCCTCTGCACCTTCTCCTCGGCGCTCAGCAGGCTGCCGCGGCTGCCCCTGGCATTCGCTGACCTGCCGCCGCTGGCGGCGCTGCTGCCCGCGGCCGGCGGCGAGCCAGGCACCCCACCAGACAGGGCGGGGCTGGCTGCGGAGCAAAAGGCGGGGGGACAGAGCACGCTGGCTGGCAGCATGCTGTGAGGCGAGGCCGCCGCCGTGCTGGCGTTGGCTGCGGTCGGCGTGGCGGGGGTAGACGTGACGCCGCTGCTCCCGGCCGCCCCTGTGCTGACTGTCACGCTGCCAGGCGGCGACTCGAGGCGCATGCGCTTTACGCTGGGCTGCACGGGCGGCGGCAGGGTGCCCTGCTGCTGCATCTGAGGGGATCGCGGAGGGGCAAGGGCAGGAGAGGAGATCAGAGTAGAGTGGAGGTGTCAACCTTGGACGCGAGCCCCAGCTTGGTGACGAGTTGAGATCTCGACTAATAAACTTTGGAAACAGCCAGGTAGATCGTTTGGGCCCTGCCAGGTGGACATGCCTGGCAGCTGCCGGGGAGCCACCTGATGCCTCTTTCTGTATTGCTTTCTAAGTTCAGTTCAGTTTAAAACTGAAACAACTGCTCTGCCCCGTTTTTCTTTTTCTCTCAGCAGTGAACTTTACAGAGACATCTAGATCTTCCGCTACAGCTCTTGCACTCGACGCCTGCGCCGGCTTCATCCCCCGCATCCGTCGCAGCCGCCGACACGGCCGCCGTGACCGCCGACGCCGTTACCGTGCCGTCGCCCTCGCCGCCCGCCTCCGCTGCAACCTCCACACTGCCGAAGCAGCGCGAGCCGCGCTGCGACCGCGATTCTGCTGCCTGCAGGGCAGGCGCCGCGGGGGCGGGACAGGGCGGGGCAGGGCGGGGCAGGGCTAGGAGCACAATGGCACGCAGGCGGGGAGCGCCACACTGGGCTGCACTCGAGAAGTGGCCAGGCCAGCAGCCAGGCAGGCAGAAGGCAGAGGGATCGCCGCGGCGCAGAGATCCGACGGCGCAGGGGCTGGTGCAGCGGGGCTCACGAATCTGAGCACAGAGGTGTGCATGCCCAGCCGCCGCTCGGCCGCCGTAAAGTCTGCGCTGTAGTACGCCTCTTCGCACGCCTCCCCAGGCTGCTGCTTATGGCCAGGCACCAGGCTGGAGGGCAGCATGCCGCCCCACATGGGAAAGCGAATGAGGAACAGGAGCATGGTCATGCCAAGAGCCATGATGCCCTGCACCAGCGTGTGTACAGGCATCAGAAGTTGGCCGGGCTGCTCAGGCGGGGGGCACCGTCCAGCCGGCCTGGCTGGGCCAGCGGTGCTGCCGCAGCTGCTCTGCAGCGCCACAGCGGCAGGGCAGCGCACTGCACAAACAGAGCACCATCCACTACCAGCCCCACCATGTAAAGGAAGCCCTGGCTCCAGTTGATTTGGCTGCCAGTGAAGAACAAGCCCTGCAGCAGGATGGAGCCTGCAAGCGGCAGCCGGCGCAGCGGCAGCTAACACACGGCACCCGGCAGCTGCCAGGAACAGCAGCCATCATCGCTGTGGGCTGGCGGCGGCTGGCAGGGCACAGAGGAGGGGCAGCCAAGGGCAAATTTCCATCTGCGCACCTACGCTGTTGCCGGAACCGACGATGCCATTTGCGGCTCCCTGCACCGCGCCAGCAGGCGAGAGGAGGGCACGGTGCTGGCATGGAGAGGACAGGCCTGGTTCATGGCGCATGCACTGCCTGCAGCGCTCACCAAGCCTCTTCTGGAGATGAAGGGAATGATGCCAAACGTGGCGCCTGCCGCCGCCGTCACCGTCAGCGCCATGCATGCCACCATGGCCATGCTGCCGCCCAGGGAGGCCCCCATCTGGGACAGGCCGCAGCAGAAGGCGGCTGCGGAGCTCTGCAGCAGGTAGAGCACCCAGAGGCGGCCGCGCATGCCAAACCTGCGGCAGGGAGGCGCAAGCAGGTGTGGCACAGGTCACCAGGAAACATCAGGGCAAGGGGGGATTCTTCTGTGGCCTGTGGCTGGCCTGCCGCAAGGCATGCATTTTGGAAAGCCTGGGGGGCAGATCCTTGCGGTCAATCGATGGGCGACCCGCCCCGAGCACGCCGCACAAGCGCTCCCTGCACGCAGCCGCACCTGCGGGCCGCCAGGTCGGACAGGATGCCGCCCGCGGGCCGCGAGAACAGGTTGACGAAGCCAAACACAGACGCCAGCGCTCCCGCCGCGGTCAGGCTGGTGTTGAATGTGTCGTACAGGTACTGGGCCAGCACTGCAGGCAGGGGGAGCAGGAGGGGACCGGACGGCGCCATCACACCGCTGCCCGCCGCCTCGCCGGTGCGCGGCGTGCAAGCACGGGCAGTGCAGGCGGGCCGCTGAGCAGCCGCCGCCTCGGGCCCGCTCCCCACCATTGTTCATCGTGAGCTCCATCCCGAATGAGAAGCCATAGACGAGGGCCATGACCCAGGTGCGGTAGTTGCGAGCCGCCGACCAGTACTCGCGCGCCGAGTTGGCCCGCTGCATGTCGCCCCGCGCCCGCAGCTCGCCGTAGTTTCCCGCAGGCAGGTCCTGGCCCCACACCAGCGCCTGCGGGTAGGGAGGCGGGGCGTGTGGGGGCTGTGGGTGATGGCGACCTTCGGCGGAGGACGGCCAGGGAGCGGGGGGGATGCGGCAGGGTGGGAAGCGCAGGCTGGCTGGGTGGGGCAACGCGGGTGCAGCTGGAGGCTCAGCTGGGCAGCGAGACCTTGTGCTGTGGGTCACCCACCGCGATGCCGACCAAGACCTGCATCCAGCCGACGATCAAGTAGCAGCAGCGCCAGGCGACAAAGTCGGGCTGGGACCTGGACAGCGCCTGCGGCAGGGGGCAGGGGGGAGGGCAGGGGCAGGGCAGGGCAGGGCAGGGCGTGCAGGCGGTGTGGGGAGTTCCGGGCGCACCGCTGCGCACTGGGCCATGCTGTGGTTGGAGGAGTGATGAATGTGAACGCGTAAGGCCGGGGCGTGCAGCACAGCAACCACCCCCTGCGGCGCCCTGCCTGCCCTCCCACCTCCAGCAAGAGAGGCATGACCAGCTGCACGACACCCCCCGCCGAGTTGCCCCAGCCCGCGGCCACCGCGTTGGCAGTGCCCACAATCCTGCAGGGTGGGGGGGAGGGGGAGTATCCCAGCAGGGGTAGGCGGGAGGCGCACCAGGCCATGCCGCTCTCGAGCCTTCCTGTTCGGGGAGCAGCCGGCCCGCTGCTTCGTTCCACAACACACACCCATAAGGTATAGGGAGTGCAACAGGCACCTGGCATTGAACATCACCGAGCACCAGAACTGGCACAAAGGAAGCCGGGGAGAAGCCGATGAAGAGGCGGGCGGTGATGTAGCCGGTTCCGTCCCCCACCACCGCCATGCCTGCACCAGGCAGGCGTGGCCGGCACAAGGGTCGGAGGCAGAGGGCCCCAGAAGCATGCAGAAGGCGATGCACAGGTGCATTCAAAGGGAGGGAGGATGGCACGGGCCACAGTGCAACATTGCACTGGCACTGCCGCGCAGGCGCGCTATTGCCCCGCTGACCGAAGGAGGCGCTCGCGGTGAGGAGCTGGATGGTGGCGGCGGCGGCCCTCGGCCCCCAACGGTCGCACACGCCGCCTGTCAGCACACGGGAGACTGCAGGGCGGAGCGGCAGGGGTGGCAGGCGCACAAGCGGCGCGTGCAGGCCGTGGGGGCGGTTGCCCTGGCTGGAGGCGCCTGCGCTGGGGGCGATTGCGCAGGCTGCTGCTGCTCCAGCTGCCGGCGCGCCTGCTGCTGGCCAGGCTGCCATGGCGCAAAGACGGGGCGTCCGCTGGCAGGGCCCAAGCCTGCCGGCCTTTGGGAGCGGGGGGCTCTCTCACCGATGGTGCCGCTGACGGCGGCGATACCGGCGGCGGAGACCTGCGTCTTGGTCAGGTCCAGATTGCCGCGGATGACGGGCAGCAGCGGTGCCGCCGTGAAGGTGGCTGCAGCAGGGAGGCGTCAAGCCGGAGCGGGCTCAGGCTGGTGGCACGCGGCTGGCGAGCAGGCCACAGGCGGGAGCCAGACCGCCGAGTGTGGCTGCCGGGCAGGTCTCACCAAACACAGCCATAAAGTGGGTTGCCCATGCCAGGTGGAAGCTGCGCATGTGCGGCGCGGCGGTGCTCAGCAGGCGCAACCGGCAGGCTTTGCCCTCCGAATCGAGCAGCTGCTCGGGTTGGCTGCCGCCGGGGCAGCAGTAGGAGTGGCGGCGACGGCAGTCGGGCGCATTGTCGTCGGCGCCGCCTCCCTCCATTTGATCCTGCTGAAAGCCCATCGTGAGAGGCTGGGATCCCGTCCGTGAGGGTCAACGGTGCAGGGAGCTGGGGCCCGCCGCCATGACGACGCCAGGGGCGGCCGACACGATGGGAGCACGGAAGGCGCTTCCCACAAACCGTTGAATCCACCGCAGCCAAAATGCAGCAAACGCAATTGGGTGCAAGCCGCCGCCAGCGGCCACTCCTCGTCAGCGCAGTGACGCCTTCGTGGGTGGGGTTGGGGAGGCGTCGCAAAAAGGAATCGGAGGAGGGGAGGGAAAGAGAGCGTCTGCAGAGAGCGCCACCAGCCCCACCTGATCCAAGCGGCGCAGCAGGATTCCCGCCAGTACTCGCCCGCCCATAGTTGCATAGTAACCGAGTTGAAGCTTGCGTTTACAACACATCCTGTTCAAGAGCAGAGCAACGCTCCAGAGATGCAGAGTGGAAACGCCCGAGGCGGGGAAGTGCGGCGTGTGGTACAAGGCGGGTGGCGGGGGTGTTGACCCGGAAGGGGAGGCTGAGGTAATAAAATCACAGAGTGCGGGGAGGGGGAGGGAAAGGGGGATGGGGCGTAAGACATGGCAGGCAGAACTGCAAGGGAGGGTGAGAGAAGCTAGTTCAAACTAAAGAATCGCATTGAGCGGGCAGGCGCCAGGGGCGCCGCCGGGGGCAGGGCACAAGGTGATTCCAACCAGAGCAAACACAAGGGGAGCCGGGGAGCCTCGCAACGCGGGGGCAGCCGCAGGCTGCTAGGGTGAGGCCGTGGCGGGTGGCTTGGAAGCAGCAAGCAAGGGTGGGTACATACGGAGAGTGATGTATACGGTCGGAGGGCAGGATGCGAGAGGGGGTGAGTTTGTGTGGGTCCACCTGAGCCAGGGCCGGCTCCAGCTGACCCCGGCCAGCGGAAGCGCAGCGCCCTCAGACGGCGGTGGCGGTGTTGGCCTTCTCAGTGAGGTCGGCCGACAGCTTGGCCAGCTGATCCTTGAAGCCGCGGTTGGACCGCGACTCGGAGGCCCAGTTGAGGATGGCGCGGTGCAGGCCCTGCTCCCGCTCCGCTGCCGTGTAGTCGCGGCTGCGGGGAGGGAAGACGGAAGAACGGGCGGGGGCGCGGGGAGGAGCGGGGTCAGCACAGCACAACACAGCGGGTGGCAGCCTGGCGCAGAGCAGGCGGCACAGCTGGCAGCAGCGCGGTACGGGCAGCCGGAGCAGGCGGTACACGCAGGCGGTACACACCTGTAGTACTCCTCCTCCGTGATGTCGGGGTTGCCGCGGGTCAGCATGCCGCCCCACATGGGGAAGTGGATGGTCACGAGGGTGGCGGTGACGGCGATGATCATCACGCCCTGCGGGAGAGGGAGAGGGAGGGAGGAGGGGTCAGGAGGAGGCGGGTGAGCGTGGGCTGGCAGCGTGGGCAACGGACAAGGCGCCGCGAGCAGCAGGCGGGCTGGGCCCGTGCTGGCGGAGGCAGGCGCGGAGGCAGGCGTGGTGGCGGAAAGGCGTGCGCCTGCCGCGCGGCGGCGCTGTTGCGCGAGCAGCGCACTCACCATCCACTTGAAGCCCTCGGCGGTGCTCATGTTGGTGCCGGTGAAGAAGAGGGCCTGGGTAACTGCGGAGCCGGCATTGCCGCCGGCGCCGATGAGGCCCGAGGCCACACCCAGTCCGCGGCGGGTGATGAAGGGGGCGATGCCGTAGGATGCTCCGCAGCCCATGGGCACAAAGATGGACCAGAAGGCGACCACCATCATGGTTAGGCCCAGGGAGCTGTCACAGTAGAACATGGCAATGGAGCAGACGCCGCCTGGAGGGCACAGGGATAGAGCAAGAGAGGCAGGGCGGGCAGCAGGGTCAGTCGGGGCACGTGAGGAGCGCGGGATGGAGGCTGGCGGCGGGCCGGGGAGGCGGGCGCGCCCGGGCTGTGGCCGGCGAGCAGGCAGGCTGGGCGTGAGCGCAGCGCTGGCGCCGCGCGGCCACCCACCCAGCGTCTGCACGATCCACAGGTTCCACAGGCGGCCGCGCATGCCGTACTTGCGGGCCACCAGGTCAGAGGTGATGCCCCCCAGGGCGCGGGCAAACAGGTTGGAGAGGCCAAACACGGCGCCCAGCACGCCCGCAGTGTGCAGGTCCATGTCAAACTGCAGAGGCGGGGAAGAGAGGAGCAGGCGACGGCGAGGTAAAGGCGCGCTGGGCGTGGCGCTGCCTGCCCTTGGAACAGCGCCGCCGCCACCACCACCGGCAGTTCCAAGCTACAGTCCAGCGTGGTTGAGCTCAAAAGGCGGCTCCCCTGCCCTCCCCGTGCCCACCTGGTCGTAGAGGTACGGCGAGATGTTGTTGTCCACTGTCAGCTCCACGCCAAAGCAGTAGCCGTAGGTGAGCACCATCACCCAGGTGCGGTAGTTCTTCACCGCCGCCAGCAGCTCCATATGCGTCTTGGCCTTGTCCTTCTTGCCTGCCTTGCGCAGCGCGCTGTAGTTGCCTGCGGGGCGGAGGGGAGGGGGAGCGGGCGGGGTGAGGGAAGGGTGAGGGAGCAGCTGGGGACCCGGCCGGCCGGCAGGCAGCCGGTCGCTGTGGGATGGTGCAGGCAAGGGGCCCACGGCAGCAGCGGCAGCGGCAGCCCAGCCCATCCTCGACGGCTCACCGTCGGGCAGGTCCTGGCCGAAGACCAGGACGGCGAGGCCGATGAAGATTTGCATCCAGGCGGGAATGAAGTAGGCGCAGCGCCAGGCCACGAAGTTGGGCTGGCTCTTCTCGATGCCCGACAGGATGTAAGGCATGATGAGGTGGGTGAGGCCCGCGCCCATGTTGCCCCAGCCCGCGGCCACCGCGTTGGCAGTGCCCACAATCTTGGCATTGAACAGCACCGAGCACCAGAACTGGCAGGCCACAAACGTGGCCAGGGAGAAGCCGATGAGCCTGCGGGGCAGGGAGGAGGGGGGGCGGCGGCGGTGAGCGGGCTGGGTCTTTCAGGCAGCTCTGGGGCAACGCCGGCTGCTCCAGGGGCAATGACAGCTTGGAAGCGGATGACAGCGGGTCGGTGGGCCGACTGGCGGGCTGGCAGGTCAGGCTGGCCTGCCGCAGGCGGCGGAGAGGGAGGGCATGAAGGCATGAAGGCGGGAAGGGGCTCACATGCGGCAGGCGATGAAGCCGGCGGAGTTGGAGACGGCGGCCATGCCAAAGGTGGCGCAGGAGGTGAGCAGCTGCAGCACGCCGTGGCCGTAGCGGGGGCCGTACGAGTCGCACACTGCAGGCGGGGAGGGGGGTGTTGAGGCGGGAACAAAGCTGGAGGCTAGGGACGGGGCTGAAGCCGGGACCCGGGCCAGGCCGGAGCCGCTCATGCAGCCGTTCATGCAGCAGGCGCTTGCGGCAGTGCAAAACGAGCGGCAGGAGGCCCGGCTGCGCGCTCTGCTCACCTGCGCCCAGCAGGATGCGGGAGAAGACGGCGCCGGTGACCGAGGCGATGGCGGCGCCGGAGATGTCCTGCTTGGTGAGGTCCAGGTCATCGCTGCGGCAGGGCGGGCCCAGAGGAGATTAGCTGGGGGTCGGGGCGTGTTGGCAGGTGCGGGGCAGGGAGGAAGATGGGAAGAGCTGCTCCCTGCAGGCAGCAGGCGGAGGCCAGGGCCCCGCCTCCTCCCTCCCCACGAGGCAAGGGCTGCCTGCCCAGCGCCCAGCCTTGGAGGCTCACCGGATGACGGGCATCATGGGCGGGGCGGCGAAGGTGGCGAAGAAGGCGATCATGAAGGACATCCAGTTGAGGTGGAAGCACAGGTGGTGAGGGCGCTGGAAGCTCCAGATCTTGAGCACCTTGGACCTGCGGGGAGGAAAGAGGGAGGGAGGAGGGAAGGACAGGCAAGGGGGTCAGCAGCCAAGGACAGAATGCCTAGACAGAGTGCGCAGGGTGCCACCGAGCAGGGGCTGGCCCGTTGCGAGGGCACAGGGCAGACCCTGGCACTGCTAGGGCAGGAGGGCAGGGGCCGGCGGGGCAGGGCAGGGCAGGGGTGCTGCTGGGCGGCGGCGGTGGCGGCGCGCTCACTTGTTCTCACTGTCCACTGGTACGGTGAAGCGAGGCACGTCCTGGTCTGAGCCGTTGTCGGCACCCACATCGGTGTACTCCTTGCTGCCGCTGGTCTTGGCAGACGGGATCTGGACCCCGTGGGCACTGTCGTCGGCCATGGCGGGCAGCTGCAGCAGGTGAGGGAGCTACCAGGGCAGGGTGAGCGAGCGAGCGAGGCGGCGGCGAGCGGCGGCAGGGCGAGGGTGGCCGGCTGCGCCACAGCGTGGCTGTGCGGCAGGGCGTGCGTGAGCGGCAAATGGCGAACAAGTGCTGGAGGTAAGCCCTAGGGCTGGGGGCTCGCCGTGCTGCCAGGGCACTCGCCCGGCCCGCCAGGCGGCTCGGCAGCGGCACCGCCGGCGGCAGGCATGCACGGCAGGGTGGAGCGTGCCGGGCGAGGTGCAGGCGCCCACCTGTGTGTTTGTGTGTCCTGGCAGCGCCTGGCAGTGGTGTGGGGCTGTGCAGGTGCTCGGTACCCGGTGGGGCCGAGGTGTGCGCTCACAAGCTGGTGAGGCAAGAAGAGAATAGGTGCTGGACGGGCATGGCAGCGTGTTATCAGGCCAGCAGCTTGGGGCCAGAGCTGGGGGGCGAGCGCAGGGGGTGCGAGAAGGGCGCTCTCACTCCGAGCTGGCAGAGACTGCCCCGTGGGTGACCCCTTGACTCGAGCTCGCCCCTCGCACTCTGGCCCCGTTTGCGCAGCCCATTAGGGCGGTGCGCTCCCAATTCACCACTTGTATCCTCCCAGCCCCCAGCCTTGGCCGAGCACCTGCAGCTACCCCGCCACCATGCTCCGCGCCTCCCTCCTCCTCGCCCTCCTGGGCCTGTGCAGCCTGGCCGCAGCGCAGCAGAGTGAGTCGCCGGCCCGCCATGCTGCAACACACCGACTGGCTTGCTGAGCGCGGCGGCTTGGCCCGCCGCCGGGTCTCGCACACAGCCCAGTTGCCCAAGCTGCAGCAGGCGCCGCGGCGGCAGCTGCCGAGCCAGGCCGCCTCGGCGTGCCGCGGGAGCTGCCGGCTCCTGCTGGCCGCTGCTGCACAGCCGCGCGCTCACCCTCTCCTGCCTGCCCTGCCCGCCGCGCCCCGTTCGGTTGCCGCCTGCAGCGTACTCGAGCGTGCAGCCTTCCAACTACACACTGACGCTGAGCTTCACTCTGGACGGCGTCACCACCACCCCCGCGCCCTGCACCCAGTTCGACCCCTCCACCTCCACCTGCCTGCCCCAGGTGAGCCCCCCTTCCCCGCCCAGCAATACCGCCAAAGGCAGGCGACACGCCGGGCCAGGCCCACACGCCCAGCGCGCCTCCAGACACACACTCCATGCGCTTGCTGCCTGCCACCGCCTTGGTGCCTCTCCCCCGACAAAGCGCCGCGCCCCCCCCTGGCACGCGCCTGCCTCCCCGGCTGCTAACCCCTCCCCACCCTCCCCTGCCTCGCCCCGCAGGGGTCTGTGCCCGACGGCGACTCCATCACCATTGCCTACTCGGGCCCTGCCACCCCCGGCAACACCGTCTCCCTCATGTTCTGCTACTCTAACACCTCCTCCGTCAACCGCGCCTGGCGCAAGTACAACGCAGTGATCTCGGTGAGGCCCCCTGCCCCTGCCTGCCCCTCGTTGGCACGTCCTGCCCGCGCTCCTGGCTGCGTGCCCGGCTGGCTGCTTATGAGGCCCCTCTGCGGCGCCTGCCCTGCTCTGCCCGGGCCACCCCGCCACGCACGCACGCATGCAGCCCACCGGCTCGCCTCCGCTCCCAAACACGCTCACCGCCCGCCCGCCTGCCCGCTTGGTCCTGCCGCAGGAGGACAAGAAGTGCAACGTGGCCAAGCCCTTCAAGACCGGCCTGCCCACGGGCGAGGGCAGCTTCAAGTGGACGCCCGGTGAGCTGGCACGCGTGCTGAGCTGGCGCGCGCGCTGAGCTGGCAGGCCCCGGCACACGATGGGTGGCGGGACATCCCTTGGCGCAGCCCTCCGAGTCGCCGGTTCCTTTTGGGCCGCCCCGCCGGCCTCCGCCCCTCCGGCCTCCGCCCCGCCGCTGTGCTCGCCCGCTCGCCGGCTCACCCGCCGCCCTGCCCCCCCTCGCGTTTGCCCCCCCCGCAGGCCCCAACTCCGCCCCCTCCACCTACCAGATCCAGCTGCTGGAGGTGGTGGCCGGCTCCGACCCCACCACGTATGCGGCCAGCGGCAAGAGCGAGGGCTACTACCAGATCATCCCCATCGACAGCCGCCCCACGTGGCTCATGGCGCTGGTGGGCGTGTTCTGCACGGTGGGGCCCATCACGCTCGCGGGCTTCTTCACCTACGAGAAGATCTACAAGAAGGACTGAGCGGCGCAGCCACCACGCGCGCGCGCAGACGGCGCCTGCTGGGAGCGGCGGTGGCGGTGGCGGCCTGCCTGGCTCCGCACGCCGCTTGCCACCCCGGCATGCCATCAAGCAGCTCCCCCTCGAACCCACCGCGCACCCCATGGCGCAAGCCCTCCACAACTGCAATCAGCTCCCTTCATTCCATTTACTGCCCTCTGCCTTCCCCCCTCGCGCCTCCTATTTCGTTGTTGTTATAACACCTAGCACAGATGTATACTATACCTCTTGTCTCTTGCACCTGGCCGCCGTCGCCCCTCGCGGCACCCCTTGATCCCGCCGGAGCACCCGCCACCACTCCTCCATCCGGCCCTCTGCTGATATCCCCTCCTTGTCACGGGGGCATCAGATTCAGTCTACCACACCAGCAACATGTAATTTGCCAACTGACACAGGCACGAACACCCTCCACAGGCACAGACACCCCTCCCAGCGCTTTCCAACCCCACCGCCCAGCTCATGTCTCATCTAGCAAACTAAACAGGACAAACCGCCACGCAAGAAGGAGAGTGATTGGCGTTATGAGAAGGGCAGCGCTGCTGCTGTTGCTGGTGGCTCTTGCCTGGGCCTCCTGGCAGGTGGAGGCCCAAGGTCCCAGGTGTGGTGGTGGGCGTGGGTGGCAGGCACAGAGGGCAGCAGGCAGTGGTTGTGGGGAGAGCCCGCTGGGGCCTGGCCCACGAGCATCCAGCTGCCTCTTCCGCCAGCGACCCGGCAGCGGTCACAACCTTGGACTGCAGCACCATCTCGAATTGTGTGCTGGGTGCAGTTTGGAGATACCTGCGCCCGAGCCCAAGCCCGAGCCCCTGCAGGAAGAGGAAGAAGACCTGCGCAGGCCCCGCACAGCGGGCGTAGTGGGATCGGCCGCCGCCGCGGCGCCG